GGGGAGGGGAGGGGAGGGGGGATAGTAGGGGATAGGAAAGGTAGCAGAATACAACAGTCACTAATATGCCATTATGTAAAAATGTGAGTAACAGATGTGATTCTGCAATCTGTATTTGGGGTAAAAATGGGAGTTCAAAACCCAATGGAGTCAAATGTATGAAAGATGATATATCATGAGCTCTGTAATGTTTTGAACAATCAATAAAAAAAAGAAAAAAATATATTTATTTATTTATTTATAGTTGTAGGTGGACACAATATATTTATTTATTTTAATTTAAAATTTTTTTAGCTGTAGATGGATACAATGTCTTTATTTTATTTATTTATTTTTATGTGGTGCTAAGAATTAAACCCAGTGTCTCATACATGCTGGGCAAGTGCTCTACCACTGAGCTATAACCACAGCCCCTGGAATTTTTTTGTTATTGTTTTTTGTTTGTTTTGTTTTGGGTTTCTGCTGTTTTAAGAATCAAAATGAGTCTCAGGAATGCTAGATAAACCTCCACCATTGAGGTACAAACCTGCCCAGGATCTTTTTAATATAAATTTGTTATGGCTTGAATGTGTCTGTCTGTGATGGAAACTTAATCCCAAATACCACTGTGTTGAAAGGTGGGCCCTGTAAGAGAGATTGAACAGATTAATGCTTTTATAGCAGGAATGGGATTGTTATCCCTGGAGTAGGTTCCTGCTAAAAATGAGTGTTGCCTCACCACCACTATTTTTTCCCCCTTTGGTGCTGAGGATTGAACCCAGAGCTTGGTGTATGCTAAATACGTGTTCTACAAATGAGCTACATCCCCAGCTCTCCTCTCACTTTTTAATGTTCTTTTGTTATTCTACTATGGAATGACACAGCAAGAAAGTACTCACCAAATGTGGGCCCCTCTAACTTGGACTTTCAGTCTTCAAAAATGTAAGAATAAATCCCTATTCTTTAAAAGTTATATGATATCAGGTATTCTAATATCAGCCTAAGAAAAATTTATAACTTATTGAAAGGTTAAAAAAAAAAAGGAAAGAAAAAAAAAGCTGTCAAAGAATCCGTAGAGTGGGTGGACTTTGTCGTGACTGCATTCACTGCTCACATCACGACCCAACAACTTGAACTCAAACAAGTGGGAGTGGTGACAGGCATAGTATGTTCCTCTGGCTATGTCCAGCCCTACTGCAAAAACTTCTGACGTCCCTTCAGCCCGCCCAGGGACTAGTTCCTGGATCTCAGACCAGTTCTTGGCGTGGAGTGCAAAGGTATAAGATACACCGTGATCCGTTCAGCCTCCTAGCGCTCCTGACGCCAAGGTTCTCCATACCCGCACTGGGACTCAATCACGCGCACCAGCCACCACTTCCAAGGGGTCTCTGCTCAAAGTCCAGCATGGCAGCGACGCTGATCCTGGAGCCCGCCAGCCACTGCTGCTGGGACCAGCCGGTACACATCACCGTGCGTGGCCTGGCCCCCAAGCAGAGGGTCACGCTGCGCGCTTCCCTGCGCGACGAGAAGGGCGCGCTCTTCCGCGCCCACGCGCGCTACCTCGCGGACGCAGGGGGCGAGCTGGACCTGGAGCGCGCGCCCGCGCTGGGCGGCAGCTTCGCGGGCCTGGAGCCCATGGGGCTGATCTGGGCCATGGAGCCTGATAAGCCGTTTTGGCGCATGGTGAAGCGGGACGTGCAGACGCCCTTCGTGGTGGAGCTGGAGGTGCTGGACGGCCACGAGCCTGACGCTGGGCGGCTGCTGGCCCGGGCGCTGCACGAGCGCCACTTCCTGCCGCCCGGGGTCCAGCGGGTGCCGGTGCGGGAGGGCAGGGTGCGGGCCACGCTCTTCCTGCCGCCAGGTGAGCCCAGGCTGCTGCTGAGTAGGAGTTGTTGCCTGGACAGCCGTTGGTTTCCTGTGCTGCGCTGGCTAGGTTTTGGCTACATCAGCACCTGTTGAGAAACTGGCATTGGCCGTGTTCATGGCCGACCAATCAAAATAGAAGATTTTTGACTCCTTAGACTCTTTTGCATTATCTTATTTTATCTCTATTATATTCCAAAGAGTGAGTACTGTTATTGTTCAAAGGAAGAATCTGGTTCACTTTGCTATTAATCACTACTCTGCAGATCTCTCCAGGCACAGCAGGGCTGCTCTTAGGGAAAGTGGCCAGGGTCAAGGATGCTATTGCCTTGTTGCCTCTGTCTCATGTCCTAGGCTTACTGGATCCTTCACTTCTTCATGTCCTTCTCTACCATAGATCACACTTCACATTCACTGCCTTCCTCACAGATAGCCAGCTTCTGGTGTTTTTCTTTCCTTTTTCTATGTAGACAGCTGAAATAGTACACAAACAACGCCAATGGTTGATGCAACACAACATCCAGCTTTTATTATTTGTTATTCTATATGCAGCCCTCGAGCACAGCACCCTGTTGTTTTGTTTCTGGTGCTGAAGCCAGAACCCAAGGCCTCCCCATGCCAGTCAAGGGCCCTACCTGAATCACATCCCCATCCCCAAATGAAGTTCTAATCCACTTAAAAAGTTCTGTTGCTCTCTTTTACAACAACTCATGATTCCTAAAACCCTGCAGATAATTTACCATAGAATCTCATGGAGGGTTAAATCACCAATGGGAAGTTACTCTATGCTTTGGATTTTTTTCTCCTTCCAAGGAACTTGTGTCTCTTTTCAGTAGTGACTCAGGAATCTGTCCTCTTTCCTTGGATTTATAGGAACCCCACTAAATAACTTGGAAAGCTCTCTAGAGGAAAGCAAATTCTTCAAGCGGTATAATGCCTTCCTATTCTCTTCTCTAGGACCTGGACTCTTCCCCGGGGTCATTGATATCTACGGAGTTGGAGGAGGCCTGTTGGAATATCGGGCCAGCCTTCTGGCTGGCCATGGCTTTGCCACATTGGCTGTAGCTTTTTATAACTTTGATGATCTCCCCAAGGATTTCAGCAACATACACCTGGACTACTTTGAAGAAGTTGTGTGCTACATGCTTCAACACCCCCAGGTTCTCCTTCCTTTATTTAATCAGTCTCCCAAGAAATGTCTCCATAGCTGGTGTCACCAGAACCAGTGCAGTGATGCTGCTCTGTTCTGTTTTCACTGAGATTCCTTTTGGAGACCTCCTAGGCTTTGGGTGCTTATTATTTCCGCTTTCTCTAACAAATGGGTTCAGGATGTAGAATTGTTCTTATAATCCATGTGCAATTTCACTGAGCAATTCCTAAATTCCTTTTGTAAAGCAAATTGAGCCTCTCATTAGTATCTTTGCATGCTTGTCATTTAATCGGTAATTTCCTGATTTTGGAGAATCTGATCTGAACTTGCCCACCTGTTCAGAGGCTAAGAACTACTGAACTGGACTCTGAAGTCTTACTTTGTTTCCATAAAGTTAATCATTTGCCTGTAATGATTAGATGGGATCTGATTAATGATTGCCATCTTGGAAGAGAACTTACTTCCACACAGTTGGATACCAAGCCATATAAAGACTGGAATCAGAGCTACTTGAATGAGCCTGAACTTGACAGGCTTCATGGCTGAGCATTCTTGAATGGACGATTCTCTAGAACCAGTTCCTAAATTTGCCAGTGAATTTAAGAATTTTTTTCTTCATGTTTAACCAGATAGTTAATACTTGGGAAGAAACTCCACTGTCACCTGACATTATGCATACTTCACATATTGAAGCTAGCAGCATTTTGAGTTGCATATTCATGTTGAATAAAGTCTTAACTCTTCTTTCTTCCTTTCTTTCAGGTAAAGGGCCCAGGTGTTGGGCTTCTGGGCATTTCTCTAGGAGCTGACATTTGTCTCTCAATGGCCTCATTCTTGAAGAATATCTCAGCCACTGTATCCATCAATGGATCTGGGAGCAGCGGAAACTCAACTATACACTACAAGCAGATTAGCATCCCACCACTGGGCATTGACCTGAATCGAATCAAGGTTACTTTCTCAGGCATTCTGGACATTGTGGATATTCGGAATGATATTGTGGAGAAGTTTGAGAACCCCAGTATGATTCCAATAGAGAAGGCACAAGGGCCCATCCTCTTCATTGCTGGTCAGGATGACCATAACTGGAGGAGTGACTTAAATGTGCAAATAGTCTCTGAAAGACTACAGGCCCATGGAAAGGAAAAACCCAGGATCATCCTTTATCCTGGGACTGGGCACTACATTGAGCCTCCTTACTTCTCCATGTGCCCAGCTTCTGTGCACAAAATGTTCAACAAAGTTGTGATCTGGGGTGGGGAGCTCAGGGCTCATTCTAAGGCCCAGGTGGATGCCTGGAAGCAAATTCTGTCCTTCTTCTCCCAACACCTTGGAGGCACCCACAAGGTGTCCCCCAAGTTGTAAATGCAAATCCAAATTGTTATGGACAGGGGAAGAGTTGAGATCACATTTTAGTGTCTAGTGACTATGTAAGTTCCCCTGGGTAGCATTAAATGGCTATTTGGCATTTATGGTATATTTCATGTCATTTTATTGAATTTGCTTTATTTGTCAACATAGTACTTTGCTATTGTGACACATGCATGTGGTAGAAGATTCAGACATAAGCTGCACAAATGCCCCCTTTGTTAAAATTTGGGGGGTTTTCTAGGGGTTTTTTTCATTTTTTAATTCTATCAATTGTTTAATTCTTTTGTTAACGCTTTGTATTAGATGACTTTTAAAGATGGGAGAATTTTTTCATCACTGTGAGAGAATGGTCATCCAATATTCCAATCATTGGAAGCAGAGTAGAATCTTTATTGACCCATAGCATACAGAAAGGTGTTGATATAAGGAAATTCACGGGGGGAGGGTCCTTTGAGGGGAGGAATTGGGAACATCTTTCTGTAGAGTAATTAAGTATAAACTCTGCACCATGGTGATTAGACTCTGATCTCTCTTCCATCTCATTTACAGATTCTAGGGTTGATGTGGGAAAATTATAGTGGAATCATTTCCTCACTTCCTTTTACTTCAGCATTGCAAAATATTGTGCAAGTATATTTGAAAAGACAATGGCTTTAGAGGAATCATTTCCTCACTTCCTTTTACTTCAGCATTGCAAAAATATTGTGCAAGTATATTTGAAAAGACAATGGCTGGTGAGGATAGAACCTAGCACATAATCTGTTCCCAGAAGTCAGAATTAATTATTCAGAAGCAAACAGATAATCTTAGAGGACTTTTAACACAAAAACTGAAAATCACAGGTAACACTATTTTTGTATGTGTTTTCAACTCTTCTATTAAATTACTTACTAGAGAGGAAGCAAGTGAAGCTATTTGCCTATTTGTTAACATTTTGTTTCTTGTTCACTAGAAACTATAAAATAAAGAGGAAAATAAAAATCTAAAGACCTGAAAAATCAAGAAACAAGTAGGTCTGTCTTTGAACAATGGACTCAATTTTCTATAGAAAAATGTACAGGAATTTTTTTTCTTTTGGGTACTGGGAATTGAACTGAGGGGTGCTCTACCCCTGAGCAATATCCTCAGTGCTTTTTATTTTTTATTTTGAGAAAGGGTCTCACTACATTGTTGAGGAGCTCTTGCTAAAGGTTGCCGAGGCTGGCCTTGAATTGCCCATCCTCAGCCTACCAAGTCACTGGGATTTATATTTTTAAAAAGGCAATTTTCAGGCTGGGGTTGTGGCTCAGTGGTAGAGTGTTCACCTAGCATGCACGAGGCACTGGGTTCAATTCTCAGCACCACATAAATGTAAAATAAAGATATTGTGTCCACCTAAAACTTAAGAATAAACATTTTAAAAAAGGCAATTTTCCAAAATTGATGTCCAAGATATTATGCTTCATATTCAAGAAGCTCTGTAATCCTGTTCACAATAAATTATCTTTAATGTATCATAGTAAAACCATTTATGATAGTTTTATGACATAGCTATAAATTATTTGCCATTCTCCCACCAAGAGTGGGACCTAGGTCCCCTCCCTTCAAATCTACATGGGCTTGTCATTGGACAATCTAGTTGAGAGAAAGTGGTGCTGTGTAGCTTCAGAGATCACCTGGTTTTCTGGGAACACGCCCTCACAGTTCTGAGCCGCCTCTCCTAAAGTTTGACTACATTCAGGCTTTGATGGTGTAGGGAGCCCAAGACACAGGAGAGGCCAATTGCTGGGACCTCTGTGGCACTGACAAGTGAAATGAGATTGTGAGTCATCTCTGCCCAGATGCCAGATAATCTGAGTAAAATAAAACCCAGATGATTCCAGATCCAGACACCTGAACCTTCCCAATTAATACCTCAAGCACCCTGGAGCAGAGAAGAGCTGTCCCTATCAAGCCCTTCCCAAAGTGTGGAAATGTGAACTAAATAAAATAAATGTTCTTGTTTTAGATGACTAGTGTTTGGAGTTTATTTCAATCACTTACTATGGAATAAATTATCCCAAAGCATCTTGATTTAAAACAATATCTATTTTTCTCAAGACTGCTAAGTGGACAGTATTTAATAGGAGTGGATCACCTCTGTTCCAAGTGACATTGGCTGGGGCAGAGTGACAGGGGGTTGGAGGATCTACTTTCAGAGCAGGGAAGTTGTTCTGGCTGTCAGCTGGGAACTCAGGCAGGGCTGTGAGTTAGGGGGTTCTTAGTTTCTCTCCACTTGGGCCTTTTCACTGGTTACTGGCATTGAGTTCTAAAAGGAGGATCCCAAGTCAGCAAGGCACAATTGCATGGCCTTTCTTTGACCTCGTCATGGGAGTTAGATAGCATCTCTCTTGTCATTACTATGGGTCATGGCAGTCATGGACATCTACCAAAGTCAAGAAGAATACACTCGTGAAAGGAGGGTGCCAAGGTTCTAGAAAAACATGTGGGCTGGGAAATACTGTTGCCATCTTAGAACATTACAATTTGCCTTCTGGCCACTCGTCCCTCCCACACGCAATAACACACATCCCTCTTCTGAGGCTCTATATTCCATTCTTTAGAGTACCTGGCTCAAGCTCTATCCAGGTCTAAGAGCTCCTCATCTGTTATCAGGTCCAGATACAGATGTGGCTCCTTGGAACAGTTCCTTGAGTATCATTGAGTATCGTTCTCCTCAATCCAAACACCTGTGAAATAAAAAAGTTAACTATTCCCACAGAGACACATACACAATACCATGATGGGAAAGGTATAAGACAACTCCTAATGATCTATTCAAAAATGGGGAAAGTGGGAGTAACAACTGTCATTGGCCCTTAGCAACTCTGAAATCCACTGAGAACAGGAGCCATCGTTATTATTACCTAGTTTATTCTGTGTCTGTTGTTCTCTGTGGCTCTTGGTTTTTACTGTTTGAACTGAAATCTTTATTTACAATAAGAAAACTACATTAGCAACTAAAAAGTCCATTCAACTTGCTTCTGATCTGAAAAAGATTAGGAGTTCAGAGTTCTCTTTATTTCATACTCTCTCCCTTATTAAAGAGCTCCTAGTTCTTTCACAAGAATTCTCTTAAAAGCTTTATTCTTTTTCTAAATATCTCTATTGACTAGTCTCTGCACACAACTTCAAATCTGTTTGAGATAAAAATACTCTACCTTAGACTCCCTGTGCGGGTAATGCAGGACAACACCCTTAAGATTTCCAGATCCCGTGGGGTCTGGTGGTACATGCTTGTAATGCTGTAATTCCATCTACTCAGGAGGCTGAGGCAGGAGGATCACAAGTTTGAGGCCAGCGTTAGCAACTTAGCAAGATTCTAAGCAACTTAGGGAGACCCTATCTCAGAATAAAAAAATAAAAAGGATAGTGCCGTAGGTTCAATTAATTCCTTGTACCAAAACATTAAAAAAAAAAAAGATTTGCAGATCTTTGTTAAACAGGCTCTATTAGGCATATTATTTAAATATTTTCATTTCTAAGAGTCACCGATAAAGTTCTTCAATGAGGAATTGTTAGACCAGGACGCAAGAAAAGACCACTGACTCCAATTAAAATCAAATTAAAGCAAGCTTATTATTTCGACCGGCCGGACTGCCTTTTCCTCCCAAAACGGTGGGAACAAGACAGCCCCCCCAGCTTTCCTACAGCCCAGCTTTATAGCCCAGAAAGTTACACAAAAGGGGGGGTTACAGATAACAGAACTCTGACAAGCATCACACTAATGGTAGTTTACATTTTTTGCTGGCTCCAACATCAGAATTTATGAAGACCATTAGAGCCTCAGAGAGGGTCGTTGTCTGGCCAGGGAAGGCCAATATTTATGAGGTGTCACTAAAGTTTCAGAGAGGGCTGCTATCTGGTCAGAGAGCCAGGCATGGGTGAGTTCAAGGCACGGGCAGGCATTCCAAGCAGGTTCAGAATTTGCAGTAATTTATAGTAAAGCCGAAATTAGCTTTTCATGGCTTTGTGGCAAGATGGCTCCCAATTTAATAAAAGATCAGGTTGGGTCTATCAGAATATCTTCTGAGACTGAACCCTTAAGAAAGCCTAAGATATCATGAGACCATGTACCATTTATTTCAATTACTTATATGTATCCATTTTAATCTCATAATTAGTGATGCACTACTGACTAGTAGTGTTACCGCTGTTGGCCGGTGACGAGTCCTTGCTTCCCCAATGTTGAAGAATAACACCAGAGAAGCATGCCGAGGAAAGGTCAGAGTAGAAATTAGAAGTTTATTAAAGGACAGCAGAAAAGACAGACTTCTCCCAGAGGAAGAAGGGGACCCAAGAGGTGGAATCCGTCGAAGTGCGATTGTTTTCTCTTTTTATAGTTCTTTCAGTGATGGAATGTAGGTTGGAAGGCCCGAGGGGTGGGACACAGGTGGGCCAAAGGCGTAATCTGGGCAGGAAGGACTTCATTAATACTTCTTTGGGATGGGCTATCTCCAAATCTGTTGGGGGCTGTTTCCTGGGTTCCATTAACATTCCTTTGGGATGGACTTTGGGCCTAGGGCTTTTTTGGGACTTCATTAACATTTCATGAGTTGCCCTGTGTTTCCTGAAATTATTCTCAGCATGGCCTCCATTTTATTGTTTATTTTTTAGTTGTAGATGGACACAATATCTTCATTTTATTTATTTTTACATGGTGCTGAGGACCGAACTCAGTGCCTCACATGTGCTAGGCAAGCACTCTGCCGCTGAGCTATAACCCCTGTCCCAGGTTTGGGGATTCTTATTCTACTTAAATTGATTCATTAGCATTGCAATTTGTCTCCATCTTCTCATTTTATTGTCATCAAGATGTGAATGTGTGATGGTCTTACAGACTGATTACCTTTTCTTATGATGTTGTTCTCTAACATTCTATATATAATATACATAATATGATATCTTGCCCACCATGATCTTAATCTCAAACATCTTTTCATTTTAATCACATAAAAAGATGAAAAGTGATGAAGGACTTCATCTCTAGGAGCATCTCCTATACTATGTCATCTCTTCTGAGATCTTTATCCATCACAGAAATGCCACTCACTGTACACAAATCTACCTTACTTCATACTGATAAAGACATGGAAAGACTTTGGTCTACTCCTAGGTACACCACTTATAATCTACATAATTTTATCAACTTTCTGCATTTTCTTCATAATCCTATCATTCATCCTGTAGCCCTCATTGAGACTCAGACACAATAATGAAGCACGTCCTTCCTTGGCCAGATCCTGTCTAGGATCTTGTACATGAAAATATGATTCACTGGAATTGAAAGGGTAAAGTTTCTAAGCTGCAAAGCCTGAGTTAAAATGTAAAGAACTAGGTATTGTAAAGTTTCTGAACTGCACACAGAACCTGAAATTCCTGAGGCAGTTAAGACAATGCCGGATACTGACCATTTTGTTGTTAAATAACCTGGACCCTGTGCAGTTTGGCACGTAGGCATTCAGGGCCCAAACCAATCAGTTTAAATGTATCCTCCTCTTTAGGAGTGACCTATCACCCCTGCTCGACCTGTTCCCGCCAATGAATGGACTAATCATGTTTGAGAGTGGTTGTTCAATTTTCCTGTGCCTCATGATGATTTGCTCTGATTTGCAAAGCCCCCCCCCTCCTCAAAAAGTGTACTTAAGCACTGCTCAACCCCTGCTGGGGCTTTTTGGCTGCTCTCCCTTCTTGAGTGAGCCTGATTAAAGGTTGGGCGAGCGTTGGAGGAAGAGACCACCAAGAGACTGTCTCATGCAATAGCAAAGGGTTTATTGGGGGTCCAGCATGCTGGGGCTCAGAGCTTACTTGAATAGAGCAAAGAGCCCTGAGAACAGCTTAAGCAGAGCTTATATACTTTCCTTGGAGAGGGCAGGGAGGGAAGTTACATTTTGCAGTTTGGCAGTTGGGGACAGCACATTCTGGGAACAAGATTAGAAAACAGTTCACAGTTGGGGACAGCACATTCTGGGAACAAGATTAGCAAACAGTTCGCAGTTGGGGACAGTACATTCTGTTTTGTTAAGCATATAGAAAAACGGATTGACAAGTACCTATTTTATTAACCTTTCCCCTGGAGCCCCAGCACACTGGATTGGATCCTCAATAACCCCCTTTTGCTGTTGCATGAGTCGGTCTCTTGGTGGTCTCTTCTTCCGACGTTCGAGGGACCCTTACAGAATGTCTGCCAATGTTCTAGCTAAACCCATCCATTGTGCCATTAAAATCAAGAAGTTGA